AGTGTTCAATATGGATGAATCAGGGTTGTACTGGAAGAAATTGCTATCCAAGACCTTCATAGTCAAGTCTGCTAGCAAGTGTCTGGGACGCAAAATGCAGAAGGAACACATCACCGTACTGTTCACCACCAATGCCTCTGGCACTGCTAAGCTGAAGTTGTCTGTGATCCACAAAGCCTGCAAGCAGCATGCCTACAAGAATATGGACATGAGCAAGTTAAATGTCCACTGGCTAACCTCAGGGAAGGCGTGGATGTTCTTTGGTCTATTCCTCTCCTGGTTTGACAACTGTTTCGTGCCATTCAACATTTTGTTGCTACTCGCCCCTTTTGCAGGCTCGTCACCCAAACGTAAAAGTGGTCTTCCTTCCCGCTAACACTATGTCATTAATCCAGCCCATGGATCAGGAGTTGATTTGCAAAGTGAAGGCTGCTTTCTCCGCCAAGAAGTTTCAGCTCCTGAACGACTTCACGAACACCAAGGATGAACTGCAGAAGCTAGAGAGTGGCACCGATAGCGACAGCGAGGACGAGAAACACGACCAAGATTTGGCGGACCATGAAGTGCGGGTCAAGCAGTTCTGGAAGCTGTTTAACGTGAAGAAGGCTGTTGATTTCTTGGTGGAGGCATGGGAGCAGCTATCTGTGGCAAAAATTCGGCACGCGTGGCGGCATGTGTTGCAGGGTATCCCACGTGGGAGGCAGAGTCAAGCGGTGGCTGGTGAGGCTCAGTCTGTTGCTGTGGCATTGGAGAATGCAAGAGAGGCTGCACAAAGTGTTAGAGCTGCAGGCTTCTCCGAGACCACCAACGACGACATCTTGGAGGTAATCAGGCAACTTCAGGTGACTGCGGACGAGATGTTGGAAGATGATGACATCAGTGAGCAGCGAGGTGATACAGAAGAACAAGAGCAGAAACTAACACATGGTGATGTGAAGGAAATCATCGCATTAGCTGAGAGAATGAAGCTCATCCTTGCCAAAGACCCAGTCAATCATCGCTACGAAGTGTCGAATAACCATCTGTTGAAATGCCAGGAGCCCTATATTCAGCTGTATCTCAACCACATCGATGATAGCCGTCAACAAAACATCAATGAGTTTTTCACCCACCAATCACCACAGCCAGCCAAGTCAGTGATAGTGAGGATGTGGACTTCGAGGGGTTTGACGAGGTGGTGGATAGAGATGCAGTTGAGGGCCAATAATCTGCCCTCTGCCTCGGAACCAACCCCCCATCCCCGTGTGCCCAGCCATCTCTTCTACTAACAAGTGTTAAAAAACCTAATATTATTGATATTTCTCTTATATATTAATTGTGAGTGGATACCATCATAAAATTAAGATGTTATTTCTACTACAATGTACAGTATTGCGTCGGTGATATTAAAAAAGAAGGGTAGTCTAGCGGTCGGCCAAGTCTCTATTTCAATTAATCCCATATGTTCTGCTATTTTTTTTACGCGTTTCGCTTTAAACGCGGACCTCCATGGGTTTAATTAATCGCATAAAACCAGACTATACTGTACAGTGGTCCCTCGGTTAACGAATGCCTCGATTAACGAAATACTTTCTATAAGAATCTTCAATTCGGTTAACGAAAAAAAATTTGATTAACGAAATTCTTACGAAAACATGTCAACATATTTTGGCTTGCTCATCAGCTGGTAGGTTAGTCCACCAATACAGTAATCAGTTCTAGGGCTTACATTCTTTCATAGTGGAGTAAATATCAAGAAGGTTGTGCTATTCAATAATTTTCCATGTTTTATATTAAAATTATTAGTCATTTTAACACTTATTTAACATAATTGCAGTACAGAGAACTAGTTTTTGGTGCGCCTATCGGCCACTTCACTCATCCACCAAGGCGTCTGTTTGTGTCTCTGTTCAGTGGAGGAAACATCTTGCTTGTGGCTCATTGAACACAAGAGTATTTTTATGTTTTTACATTACAATTATTGGTCATTCTGAAATTTATTTAACATATTGATAATATATAGCGCAGTGCAGTGTTGATTTAAAGAAAATAATCTTTAATTACAGCTAGTGAACTTAAAATTTTATTGGTGAAATGACGGCATCAAGCATGGGTCCCCTGGAAGGTGATTTCTCCTCCATCCCCACTTCCTTCTCTTCTCCCTTCTCCTCCACCCCCACTTCTAATTCCCATCATCATCATCAACCAGGAGCCTTCTACTTACACACCTCAAAGTAAGTGTACTTTACTGCATTTTTTTTTGTACTTTGTATGTACTTTTCGGTGAGCTGGAACCAATTACCCAATATCGCATTGAAACAATGGATTCGGTTAACGACCGACCTTTTGGAACAAATTGTGTTCGTTAACCGAGGGACCACTGTATTATCAATATGTTAAATAAATGTTAAAATGACAAATAATTTTAATATAAAACTTGCAAAAATATTAAAGAGCACAACCTTCTTGATATTTACTCCAATAGAAACGAATGTAAACATACAGCCGATTTCAGCTCCTCCCCGACTTACGACCTGCCTCAGTCGTACCAAAATTTTGTCAAATTACGTCTTCGAGTCCCAACATCAGTACACAGACACAATTTTCATTTGTAATTCACTTTAAAATGGCTGGCAAGCTTAAACGTGAGAGTTTTGTAGTGGTGAGAAGAAAAAGAGACACCCATTTTAGATTTTCTATGTATTATTTAAGCATTTTCGACTTACGACCTGGATTTGGGTCCCTAACCCCGTCGTAAGTCGAGGAGGAGCTGTACTGTATTGGCGGACTAGCCAATCAGCTGATGCGCAAGCCAAAACATGTTGTCGTAAGGATTTCGTTAATCAAATTTTTGTTCGTTAACCGAATTGAAGATTCTTATGGAAGGAAATTCGTTAACCAAAACGTTTGTTAACCGAGGGACAACTGTCATAATAATTATTAAAAATTATACTAAAAAATAAAAAATAAATTACAGGGGTGTAATAATAATAATAATACATGTAACCATAAATAAATGAGAAAATGAAAAAAAAATCAGGAGTGAGATACAATATACAGTATGTATGTTGTGTTGTTAAAGTAAGAGAAACAATTGAAACCCTGCAATTGTGTGTAAATGAGGCACAAAGTCAGATCAGCAACCTGGGACTTGGTCACAATTTTTTGTGATGCCATAGGGCAGCAGGGTCTACCATTAAACAACACATTATGCTTCCCAAATTTTCCAGGTGGTAGTACCTCCCTGTTTGGTAGCTACCTACTACCTGGTAGTTGCCAGTCTGACTTGTTTCCCTTGTTCTTATAAATATTGACGATGGAAGCATCTGTAAGAGTTTGGGGGATTTCCTCCTTTTCCCATATAATAATAATGGTTGCCCTTCGTGTAATGAGGATGACTGGCTCAAGGGCCACATAGGAGTGAATTTGCTCAAGGTGTAGAGGCTGTCGCCAACACAACAACCACACCCTACGTTAATGAGCTGAATGACTCTGTGTCAAGGAATAGTCCGAGAAGACCGGACAACTCGCCAACTGCACTGGCTAACCATTACCCTGGAATACGATCCGTAAATCCATTAACATCCAGGTTCCCAATTACTGCTAGGTAGACAGGCAAATGGCATTAAGAAACTTGTCCATAGTTTCACCTTGCCCGGGGATTAAACCCGAATCCGCTCGCTTGCGAGGCGAGAATGCTGACCATTACACCACAGGTCGCCATTTTTCCCATATATTCTCCAGGAGAGAGTAGAGACGGCTGGTAAGCAGATGTCCTCCTGCTTTATACACCTCGGCTGGGATTCCATCAGGCCCTACAGCATTGTTATTGATCATCTGTTTTATGGCAGTAGCTATCTCATCCAGGGATGGATGATAGCTGAGGTGGGTCAGCTCTGGATGCTGAGGGACCTGCTGGGTAATCAGGACATCCACATCAGTGTTTAAGTTGAGCAGCAAATGGTAGTGCTCTTTCCAGCACAGAAGGATACCTTATTCACCTTTAATTTGGGAGTTACTGTAGGATGAGCGGAGGGGGCCAAGCCATGAGTGATTGGCCCATAAAATGTTTTAGTGGAATTGAAAAATTCGCGCATCTTGTGTTGATCTGCAACTTTTTGCATTTCTCATGCTCTATTTATAAAACCAGTAGTTCTTTAGATTGTGAAGTTTACACTGGGCCACCGTTTTCTTCTTGTGGAAGGTATCAGCATTGATCCGAGACTGAGGGTTGTTCTGCCAGTCAGTTAAAGCAGCACGTTTATCATCGATGAGTACGTTGATTTCCGGGTCATTTTCATCAAACCAGTCCCGGTGTATCCTTTTGCCCTGGCTGAGGTTTTCTCTGCATGATTTTCTCATGACAGTGTCGAGAATACCCCATTTGGCAATACGCACACACTGAATATTATAAATCTTTTCTTTAATATACAATTCCTATCATGAGGTGAGTCCCGTGTGCGGGTCTAACGCTTATTTTACTTTTATCCCCTTTATCGCTTGGGCGGTCGGTCACGTCTCTGTTACATACTGATGGTAAGTACTGGGCATGTACTGCCTCTCTGTTACATACTGTTGGCAAGTACTGGACATGCACTGCCTCTCCATTGCACACAGTTGGTAAGTACTGGGCATGTACTGCCTCTCTGTTACACACAGTTGCAAGTACTGTCTCTCTCTTACTTACTTGGCATGTACTGGCTCCAGAATGTATCTGTACCTGTGCCAGTGTTGGTCAAGTCGGGTCTTGAATGAGCTCACACCCAGTGCTGACTGATTGAGTATTGACCTCGGATGTGTTTATAAACTTCTATTGAGTTGCCTCTTGCCCGCCTATAGTATAAGCTGGACAACAGCAGGCATTCTAATCTCTCTAGGTCCCTGTGGTGCCATAGCAAAGGCACCAGTCTGCTGTACCACTTTTGGATATTTTCTGGTAACCCTGCACAAAGTGTGGGAGAGGTGTACTGTATATATAAATGTCATAAGTTTAAGCTTTTAGGCTTAAGAAAAAGATGTACTCTTTCTGATTACTGTACTTTTAATGCAGAAAGCAAGAAGCATCATGTTTTTTTTACACAAACAATGAATAATCATTGTTTCAACACAGCAAATATCTTGCTTGATGTAATAATTATGCTGAAACTTTTAATAATTCCTATCAGTTGTAAAAGTGCTGTGAGCAAGTTCACCACATACAGCTACTGTACACAAGATCACTAAATCTGGCAAATTAAAAACCTTATAATAAACCTGTTACATCATCTTATATTAACGCCGGCATTAATTAATTCTCTTTTGACATACAAAATTTTCTCATCTGTAAGATATCTATAAATGATTGATTGTAGAATGTTGACAACAGTAAAATGTTCAGTCTCCAACAACCTCTGCTTCAGACGTACAGATCCATTCAGGTGGTCACCAGGTTTGTATATATGGGAGGAGCCAATATCCAAAATAGCAATCCTGCAAAGAAATTCAAATTTAATTTTTGTTAACAATACATACGTACATGTACACCCACTAAAAAAAATATTCGGCATCCGTGTCATATTGTATCATGCAGTAAGGGTGCCAAATATATATATATATATATATACAGTATATATATGTATATATATATATATATATATATATATGTATGTATATATATATATGTATGTATATATATATATATATATATATATATATATATATATATATATATATATATATATATATATATATATATATATATATATATATATATATATATATATATATACCGTATATCACGGCCTATAAGACGAAATTTGAACATTAAAAAAATCTGCCCAAAGTTAGGGGGTCGTCTAAACCACCAAGTTTAAAATTCTTACCTCTTAAATATTGTGGTTTAGTGTGTCAAGAGTGGTGATGAAAACATCGTAAGCCACTCACAAGGTCTTACCACTAATTATTTTATACTGAAACTTACGTTTGGCAAGCTGGATTCAAATTAAGATTACCGGTATATTAAAATAATAAAAATGTATTATAAACCTGTCTAACATACCGTAAAAGAGATTTATACCCCTGTAATAAACACAGCTATCATCACACACCCCTCCCCACGCCCCCCCCCCATTTGCCAGTGAGGAGACAAGAAAGGAAAAGTGACCGCGAGATTGGGCTATTTTTAGCCGTGGAGGTGGTCAGTAATGCATACCGGTATCGGTATATTTACTCATAATAATATTTATCTCCTATAAATAATTGATTTAAATTTTATTTTTTTACAAAGAATATTCAGTAAATGAGTGCATTAATTCTTGAAACTATCGACGGTTAATTACAGACGCTCAAGTGACGTCACTAGTGTTTACACTACACCAGCTGGTAATATTTGATGCCATTACTTGAAGTGAATTGGCCTTATTTTAAGTAACTAACTATAAATAAATACAAAAATTAAAAAAAAAGATCAAAACTGAGAAATAATATACTGTATGTATGTTGTGTTGTCAAAGTAAGAGGAACAATTGTGTAAGTACGTAATATTTTTTCACTCAAATCCTAATGAAACACTACTGGAGAACATTCCTTTGTCGCAAAACAGTTTATAAATTAAAGAAAATAATTACAGTGTGTTTAATATATTACAGTATATTATAAATAAATAAATAAAACAAATAATTCGGTAAATCTATTTAAAGTAAATGGAAAATAAGCAAACATGTTATTTACCAAGACCCTTCCGTCTGGCTCAGGGTGAGATGTAGGGGAGATAAAGAAGGCTATTTATAGCCCATCAGAAGTGACCAGTACCCTAATGCACCATAAATAATTCATTGAACATTCATTTTTTGTACATAGTATATTCAGTATATATATATATATATATATATATATATATATATATATATATATATATATATATATATATATATATATATATATATATATATATATATATATATATATATATATATATATATATATATATATATATATATATATATATATATTTGTGTAATAAATGTATGTAGTAAGTACATACTGGTAACCTTTTTCACTCAAATCCTAATGAAACACCACAATTAGAATACGGTGGTTGCTGTTGAACCACATGTTGTATAAATAGTCACACCACCGAGACGAGGGAACACTCCCAACACGCTTTAGTGACGTCACTAGTGTTTACACTACACCAGCGGGTATAATTTGATGACATTACTTGAAGTGAATTGGCCTTATTTTAAAAAATCAAGGATGGTTGGTAAAGGACTACTGAGTCAGTGGGTAAGTGTCACATTTGGGGTACTGGTCTTATACAGCAAATAGAGCTCAAAAGCTACTTTTTAAATGGAAATTTGGGGGGGGCGTCTTATGCACCCCGCCGCCTTATAGGCCGTGATATACGGTATATATATATATATATATATATATATATATATATATATATATATATATATATATATAACACACACACACGCACACACACACACACACACACACACACACGTTCAATCACATTCAGCCCTTACGGCGTGATACAATATGACACGGGTGCCGAATAATCTTTTAGTGGGTGTACAGTACTACCTAAAATAATGGCAAAATAATTAGTATACTTGGAGCTGTAAATGTTTGTGGATCATTTATACCAAAGAATTCTTCAATACCATACCACAGAGAATGGGAGCAAACCAGAATGTGGTCAGTTTGTTCATAGTAAGAAGGAATATAACTCACCACAAACTCAGTCAATGGAGTTTGACATGTTATAAAAAAAAGGAAGAAGATTTAGTTTTCCTGCTAAGCATAAACAAACGTGCTACAATCCACTCATACAGTACTTATTTACATCAACAATAAAAACGTTAAGCCAGGAAAAATCCTCCAGACCTCAGGGATATGTGGAGTTACTCTCCTTTAAAATGAGACTCCAGGATCAGTACTACAGTAATGCTACATCATTCAGTGAGGAACAATCCTACTAAACTGATCAAAGACAGTTCAAGGGTATGCCAAAGGAACAAACTTTCTAAAACAAACTTTGAGGACTTGGAATGAGGATGTGTTATCCTTAACATCTTGTGTCTGTTGTACACAATCAGGTTGGCCAGGTTGAAATATTATCAACACAAGAGTGTGTAGTGCTCAGAAATCAAATACTAACCCACAACCCATTCACCGGTGTGAAGAATACCCAACCCCTGACCAGGGCTGCTACAGTAACCACCACTATCTTCAGTATACAACATACAGTAGGCCAAAGCTGCAGCAATGACACACATTCCAGAGAATTTGAAACATGAATGGATATTCTGAGACATTCTAACATCAAACACTGAGGACGTTGTCCTAAGATGTCACCTCTCTGACTGAAGGTAGTAACGAAAACGATTTGACCAAAGTCACATCAATTTATGAGCTCATTGTGCCACACAAGAAACCACTCAAATATTGGTTTTAGGAAGGACGGTATGTCCAGCTGCTGAACTGCCCCAGCAAGGGGTGTGATTTAAACCCCAGTGTGGGCAGACATGGTTAATGCTCGGGAGACATGGAGGGAGCAGCAGCTGTTGGAACACACCATGGTCGAGTGGGAACATTTTCCCAGGAACTCACACGTCATTTACAGTCACGTGGCATTTGTACCATACACACTACAGGAAATCATAAGAGAGGCTGGACCAAGAATTAAGTACAGCATTATAATAGAGTATGATTATGTATGGTACTCATGTATTTGTAAGTATACTGTATAGAGTATTTATTTACTTGACCAATTGTATATTTCTTACTTGAATTGTATTTTTTGTATGTCCTTAAGATTATCCCTATTTTTACATGATTCATGTTTATTTTTGATTAATTGATTGAGTGTGGTAATTACATCCCTAGTGACGCAATAGCTTAGGTAATATGTCGCCAAATTAAAATTAAGACTTATAAGCAGGATGGGAAGGAGAGAGGGGGGATGGGAGGCAGGAAAGGAGTGAGGAATGGGGTGGAAGGGAGTGAGGAGGGGTGGAAAGGAATGAGGCAGGGGGTGGAAGGAAGGGACTGCGATGTTGGCACATTCATAAAACTGCTACTGAGGAGTGGAGTGTAACTGTACATTCATAATTTTGTTAATATAGATAAGTGTAAATGGTAAACAAGAGACACCTCCAGATATCCATAAAATAACCTTTCTGCTTTGTCTCACAAATAGTTCCTTTCAGACATCTACTGTTATTTTATTTTATTTTTTTTATGGGGAATAGCCCACCCAGGCACAGGTCATCGATCCACAACGGGGCCTAGGGGGAGAAAAAATAAGAGATAAAAAATAGAAAAGAAAAAGGTTATATTAATCTACAACACGAAGATGCCGGAAAACCAGCTTTTTAAAGTGAGACATTGTATGAGTGCGGAAACACAGAAGAAGGCAGAGCTTTTCACAGTTTGGCTGTGTGAGGAAAAAATGATGTACTATAACAGGTTATTCTAGTGTGACCGACATCCACAGTAAAATGGTGGGCACTGCGGGCAACATGTGTGTTACGAGCCCACTGCCTTGCCGGCGGTATACAGGATGCCAAATCCGCTGAACATTGCCCATTAAAATACCTGTAAAAGAAAAAAAGTGAAGCAACATTGTGGAGAAGAGAAAGGGAAGAAAGATCATCAACTAAAGGAGGAGAGTTGAATAAGACGAAATACCTTTGATTCCACCCAATCTAACAGATGGACAGAAGAAGAGCCACTACCAGATATAAGGACGAATGAATCCCTTATATACTTGAAGCAACTGCTCAGAAACGAAGTAGCTATGGCATCTGTACAGCATTCCCAGCTTTTGGGAGGCAGCTTTAGCAATATTGAGGATGTGTGGCTTCCATGGCATATTAGAGGAAATGGTGAGGCCTAGCATATCTATTTTAGAATTTGGCAGAAAGATAGCATCCTGAAATGTGATTGGTGGGAGATCATCTAATTTGGAAAGTGTAATTGGTAAATAATGAGTTTTATTACTCTTGAATTTAACGAAGTTTCTACCTCTCCATTCGGAGATGCTGCACATATCTGCATTGACAGATGTAATGATATCAGCCCTAGAAACAGATCTAGTTTGAGAATTAGGGGGAAAGGAAAAATGTGAAGAAGAGTGAAGAGTAGAATCATCAGCATAAGAATGGATAGAATTAGCCGTTGTGTGAAGTAAATCATTGATAAAAATAAGGAAGAAAGTAGGTGAAAGAATAGAACCCTGTGGGACACCACTATTGGTAGAGAAAAAGCGAGAGATCGATCCCTCAACAACAACTGCCATGGATCAGTTCTCAAGGAAGCTATAGATGAGAGAACAAAGTGGGGGAGAGAAACCACCATAAGAGGGAAGCTTAAAAAGCAAAGACTTGATATAATTGCATGTGTCTTTTTACATGTTTTTATGCATTTTTACTATAAGGTGTGGCCAACTTGTGCTAATATATACAGTAGAACCTCGATAAATCGGACCACTGGGGCAGACCCCGGTCCAAAAACTGCGAAAGCTTGATAAAAGTGAATACAGTATATATGGGGAAATAAAACTACTCTTCTGGGGGTGGAGATAAAACTACTTTTCTGAAGTGTTTAAAGAAATTCAGTTGTTGTTATGTTATTAGTGCACTTCAACAACTATAGTATTTAAGTTTATAACAAGGTTATTGAAAGAATATTACATCAACAATAAAAAAATATGAAACAGAACTCTGAAAATCAGACTTATAAGTCTGGTTGTCAACAACTGTTGTCACTGAGATGATTGTTATTTACTGTGAAGTGTTATATGTAAGTAACCACAGAATTTGTGTTATGAATAAAGAGAAAACTGTATACAGTGGTCCCTCGGTTAACGAGCGCCTCGGTTAACGAGATTTCGGTTAACGAGTTACCTTCCATAAGATTCTTAACTTCGGTTAATGAGCAATCCCTCGATTAACGATTTTCTTACGAGCCGACCTCAACATGTTTTCGCTTGCATTAGGCGGTCAACCAGCTGTAGTATTAGTCCGCCAATACAGTAATCGGTTCTAGGGCTTATATTCCTTACCATTTTAGTAAATATCAAGAAGTTTATACTATTCAATAATTTTAAAAGTTTAATATTAAATTTTCTAGTCATTTTGACAATTATTGAACATAATTGAAGGTAAGGAAACTAGTTTCATGCGCGCCATCCAGCCTGTCAACACACCAAAAAGGCGGCAGTCTCTCTGTCTTTGCAGTGGAGGTAACATCTTGCTTGAGACTCTCTTCAACTAAACGCTTTTTGTCTGTGTTTACAAGCAAATTATTGGTCATTTTGAAATTTATTTTGCATATTGACAATATATAATGCAGTGCAGTGTTGATTTAAAGAAAATAATCTTGAATTACACCAAGAGAACTACAATTTTATGGGTGAAATGGCGCCATGGGGTGACTTCTCTTCCATCCCAATGCCTTCTCTTCTCCCTTCTCCTCCACCCCCATTCTAATTCCCATCATCATCATCCAGGAGCCTTCTACATACACACTTCAAAGTAAGTGTACTTTTCTACCTTTTTTGTTGAATTTAGGCAATTTTCAGTGAGCTGGAACCAATTACCCAAAAACCCATTGAAACAATGGTTTCGGTTAACGAGTTTTTCGGTTAACGAGCACCCTTCTGGGACGGATTGTGCTCGTTGACCGAGGGACCACTGTACTGTACAGTACTAAAAAGATAAAAATAAGAACAAATAAGTGTAGGAGTATATTGTATGTGGAAGACAAATGTTTATCTGGGAGCAGCTGGCAAAGGGGAGGGGGAGAGGGATTCCTTTAACACATCTTTATGCAATTTCCCCATAATTCTCATATAATTTCGGATCATTTGGAGCCAGGTTGATAAAATATTATCCTAAAAGTATCAACTTTTCCCCAAAAAGAATCCCACCATCAATCGTTTGTTTACAAAAACCAAACTGTTTGGCCCAAACAGCTGATAGGCTTAGCTGCTTACCACAGTGTCTGTCTTCAACACTTAGGAAATTAGTATAGTACAGAGCAGTATTTATTATCACTTATTAAATACTCATGTAGTGTACAGTCATTCTTTGGTTATAGCGCACTTGGTTTTTCGCGTTTTTTGTTATCACGCCTCCATCAAAATCTGCACACCTGCTGTTATAGCGCATTTTCCAAGCCGAGAATTTCATTATCACGCAGTTGCCTCCAGGTGTTTTTACCCATTTGCTTCACCTACATCTATTGAGGATAAAATCTTTCACCTACAAATTGACAATAGCACATTTGCTGTAATCAGACATATCTAAGTTGCCTCAACAATTGCAACCCCAGTTGCAATTTCAAATTCTGTGTCATTACTAAAGAATAACGAAGTCTCCGGTGCACTCTAAGATTGAGAGAAAACGGAGCAATCAGGCGTCCTGAAGCGATGAGAAAACGGACTTCTCAGACGGGGGGACTCAAATAAAGAAAGCATAGCTACATGTTTTGTGGACTACAGTGGGTCTAAATGGTCATAAAATGGGAAAATTGGGGTTGGGTCTTGGGGTGCCTGGAACCAAATAGAATAAATCCCATAGATTATGTACTTTCGTTATCGCGTTTTTCGTTATCACGCACTCGGCGCGGTCCAAATTAGGCGTGATAACCAAGGGATGACTGTATTTATCATCACTTAATAAGTAATATTGTAGTGTACAGTACTATGTATCTGCATATACCCTGGTTTATTCATTAATCAATTGTCTAAGTGTACAAGTAGCCAAATTGAGTCATCATGTATCACTCAAAGGAAATAAATAACATTGTTAGGAAGGTATCTTCATATCAAATACTATACAGTGTGTTATCGTGACCCCTGTTGTAAGCTTATGTGCTGAAAGCTCTCACAAGAATGTGTCCTGAGAAAAATACCTTCCGCTACAGCTTATCCTTTTATTTTCAAGTCATATTACAAATTACATACTGTATTGTATTTTTTCTTTATTATTGAAGATGTAATATGAATCATGATGAACCATAAACCCTAAGAGGCCAATCATATGAGAATATAATACTGAATCAATAAATAAATAAACCTAACGAATGTGGCAACACCGTGATCATGGCCTCTTATGGTTACTTACTCAGTGTCGTAGTTCTTGGTAGGCCTATAGAAAATATGAATAGGCCACTGTACAGTATTCATTAAGTGTTTTTCTTTTCATAATTTTTTTAACCTTCCCATTTCTTCAAATATGTATTTTTTGGGGTGACCAGAGCACCTCAGAGTTCGAAAAAAGCGAATTCCAATATATTGAAATCCGATTTATTGAGGTATTACTGTATTCATAAGATATCTCTCACTGTCCTACCAAGGTAGTTAGTGTCCAATCCACCAGCTGTTTCTCTCTCTTTCAAAGGGGCAACATCTGTGAAACACTACAAATACATACTTTGTGCAGTTTTCTGGAATATCTAAGGAGCTGATGCTGATGTTCCTCTGTAACAACGCCTCTGGTGGGTTCAGCTCTACAGGATGTCCCTTCTCGTCCAAAATCAAAAGATGATCTGGTAAAAAAATAATAGTTACGACTAAAATCTTTTAGAACAAAAACCAAATGAGAAATGAGCAAATGAGCGAGTCTCACTAACTGAGGTTTAAGTTATCTGGGCTGACAACATGCCCAACCACAGCTCTGAGTACTATCAACGATTTATATTAAGTAAACCATTTCATGAACCATGGTATCCAGCATTAACCCGATAACTGCGACATACATTCTTGAATGATAACTGGAAGAGTGCAACACACATTCTGGAATTCAGAGCGTTTTGAATGCAGCGAACGAAAAATTTAATATCTAGTGGGGTCAAGAATGGGATGTTTACACTTGCCAGTTGTCCCACTGGGTAATCCTCCCACCCACACTGCTAATCAGGCAATCATATCTCAGTCACGATGGAGTCAAGAGATGAGTCCTCGCCCCATGGTGACATCACTGAACCCACTCCTTCTGCTTCCACTGGCCATGGTAAAAGGCCAGAGAAGAGTAGAAGGAAGAGACTGCCTTTGAAAAAGGAATTACTTGTGGGATATCACAGCAGTAGTGAAAGTGAGGAATCTGAAGATGACCCAAAGCCCAGGCGGCGTCATGAGGTTGGCCACAGGTCACGCGCCCAGCTCAAAACTTCAAGATGCAAACCATTCATTCTGCCTCTGCACTATCTACATCAACATCTGCTGCTCTGCCTACTAGAGATGGGAAAGCTGGAGGTGAGGGGGACATTGAGTGAAATGAGGGAGGGAAAAAGAAAAAAATGTGCTACTCAGGCTGGTGTTGCCATGAAGGGTGGCAGGAAGGCTGCCTCCACAACTATTACCACAAAGTGCAGTTTTGTTCGATCTAAAAAAATTAAAAGCCTTACACCCTCAAGTTTGTGCCCATGGTTTATGAAACAGATAAGTCCATTTCCTCCTTATCTGATGATGATGATGATGATTGGCAAGTCGAGTGTGCTGGTGGGGAAAAGTGTGCTGGAAGTGACGGTGGCGGCATTGTGGAGGAGGTAGGGGAGGCTATGGATGTAGGGGTGAGGGAGCTACTGCACGACCCTTTGTGTGGAGTGATGGGTCAGATTTTGTGCCGGATATCCATTATTTTCATAATGGAATTGGTGGTGACAGTGGTGACTAGCCTTGTGATGACACTGCAACTGAAATGGAATATTTTACTGCCTTTATTGACAATGAAGTGATATTGCATTTTGTGGATGAGACTAACAGATATTATAAGTATTCCACAGATGACAGTGCTTTCTCACCCTAATGTCATGTGCATCGTTGGGTGAATACTACAGTAGATGAATTATACATGTTTTTCCCACTTATGATGTGGATGCCTCTCAACAAAAAAAAACATCCCGGTAATCCAGGATTACTGGCGTAATGACCCTCTGAAAGCCACTCCTGTGTTCGGGAAATTTATGACAAGGGACAGATTTCTCTTACTACTGCACTTCTTCCATTTCACAAATAATAATAATCCAGTGGAAGGAGATCGACTGTGGAAAGTAAGGGACGTATTTGCCATGATTGTGAGTAAGTTTAGCAAGATTTTATCCTTTCATGAAAACGGTGATTGATGAGAGCCTGATACTTTTCAAGGGTAGACTCGCATTCAAACATTATACTATACCAATGAAGTGGCATCGTTTTGGAAAATAGATCTTTATACTGTGTGACTGCGAGACAGAGATTATCCTGGACGCAATTGTGTAAACAGCTAATGATGTGGACATACCAACGAATGATCCCTTGGGATTATCTGATGCAATCGTGAAAAAGCTGATGGCTCCATATATGGGAAAGGGTCATGTGCTGTGCACAGATAGGCGGTACACTATTTCTGTTTTGTGCCGCTTCATGCACGCACATGCCAACTAATGGAACCGTACATAGAAAAGAAATATATACCAAAGTTTGTTGTGAGAGCTGATCGAGGCTACTGTGAATTGCAAAAGTCTGGGAAAGTCATTGCAATAAATTGGCATGACAAGCTATATGTCACGATGCTCAGTACTTTGCACAAGGGTGAAATGAAAGACAGTGGGAAGGTGGACTTCAGAACTCAGGGAAGATAGACTATAACAAGTGCATGCATCTGATAGACAACAGTGACTGCCAACACAGTGCTGTAGAATGCATTAGAAAAGCTGTAAAATGGCATTACAAACTCTTCTTACACACTAGACATCACCATCCTCAATGCCAACAATATGTTTTTAGTTAGGACTGGTAATAAGAAAGTTTAGCAGAGGGAATTCCAAAACAATGTTGTCTACCAGTTTCTGGAAGAATATGGCACCCTGACATCTTCAGAGAGAGGCCAATGCACTACATGCACCCCTGATAGATTGAATGCTAGAAATTATATAGCTCATCAGTTCCTGGACACAACATCGACACAGGGACATGGCCGGAAAAAACAAGGCACGAAAGACAGAGGAAAACAGTGACAACAATGTGTGTTGAGTGTGATGTGGGATTGTGTTTGGCCCCATGTTATAGGGATTACCACACCCTACTGAGTATTATGTGGTACAGTATGTTGTAAATAGTGTTTATTGTATAAACAGTGCAAAAATAAACAATATATGTGAGTGAATAAGTGATTTTTCTCACTCAATCAGTACTCGGAACTAACCCCATAAGTGAATAGAATAAGGTTGTTTTCCATTATAAATTTGGTTCATAAAAAAATAAGAAAATATGGTAAATAAGTACCTCTTCCTAACTGCCGATCATGATTTCACGTCAGTGGTTGCCGTGTCTCCCTCCCTCACCCTAACGTGTCATTCCCCCACTCTTAGCATGGCCTGGCACGACCTCCCACCAGCCCCAAACTCACTGACTTCACAAATTCATCACGGACAAACTAAGGTAAGTAATGGATTCACATTTGGTTTCCATATTCTTCAACATACAGTGACCCCTCGTTTAACGAACACCTCGGTTAACGTAATTTTGATTAACGAACTGCCTTCCATAAGGATCTTCAATTCGGTTAACGAAAAAAAATTCGGTTAACGAAGTTCTTACGAACCGACCTCAACAAGCTTTCGCTTGCACTGACCGGGCAACCAGCTTTAGTATCAGTCCGCCAATACATTAATCGGTTCTAGGGCTTAAATTCCTTACTATTTTAGTAAATATCAAGAAGTTTATACTATTCAATAATTTTAAAGTTTAATATTCAATTTTTAGTCATTTTAACAATTATTGAACATAATTGAAGGTAAAGTGACTAGTTTAATGCGCGGCATCCAGCCTCTTAACACAGCAAACAGGAGTTACTGTCTCTCTCTGTTTTCACTGGAGGTAACATCTTGCTTGAGACTCTCTTCAACTAAACGCTTTTTTCTGTGTTTCCAAGCAAATTATTGGTCATTTTGAAATATATTTTATATATTGACAATATATAATGCAGTGCAGCGTTGATTTAAAGAAAATAATCTTGAATTAAACCAGAGAGCTAAAATTTTATGGGTGAAATGGCACCATGGGGTGACTTCTCTTCCACCCCAATGCCTTCTCTTCTTCCTTCTCCTCCACCCCCATTCTAAATCCCATCATCATCATCATCATCATCCAGGAGCCTTCTACATACACACCTCAAAGTAAGTGAACTTTTCTACCATTTTTGTTGAATTTAGGAAATTTTTGGTGAGCTGGAACCAATTACCCAAAAACCCATTGAAACAATGGTTTCGGTTAACGAACGTTTCGGTTAACGAACGACCTTCTGGAACGGATTGAGTTCGTTAACCGAACCTATTACTATCTTTTAATCCACAAGAGTTAAAATAATGTTCGGGGAAAATCGATATACGTTTTTTTTTTTGTGCACTGGGGGGTTGATCGGCGAATTACTACCACAGTTATTAGGTTAAGCATCCATGGGTTTCCACGGCCACAGGAGACATCAAGCTGTGGCTACATCACATTTATTAAGTATTTTGTCCTGCTTACTTCTTGGTGTAAGTGTTCATCGAGAAACTGTCACCATCTACCATACCACACCAAGTCCTCTTTTTATCCTTCATATTATATGCTACAGTAGCCTCAGGTTATCTTAGAGGGGCTGAGAACATATGTGAAGTAAATAACCCCGGTCATCTGAAACCTATGGGGATTGAGAGGTCCGAGTGTAGGACAAAACCCCCAGGACAAAACCCCCTAGGACAAAACTACCTTGGACAAAACCCCCTCAAGTAAAGTGCAAAGTAGGGTAAAAAAAACCCTTATTTAGAGTAAAAAATAAGACAAAAGCCCCTAACCTAACCTAAAATTATTGAAATGGACTTAAAGTCTGAAAATAGAAAAAAGTCGAGACTTTGTCCTTGTTTTATTCTAAATAAGGGGGTTTTGTCCTACTTTGCACTTTACTTGAGGGGGGTTTTATCAAAGGAGGTTTTGTCCTAGGGGGGCTTTGTCTGGACCCCAAGAGGTGCCAGAAAAAAGATTTTCAGGTTAGTTGAATCTCAGTCTCAGGATCCCCCAATAAATCCTACAATGCACAGTGCTGACCAAGCAAATTCGTGTCTAAAAAAAACCCCAGACTTACTTAACACTTACAATCTGCGCGGAATATTAAAATGCGATAGGGCCGACGAACTAAGTTCTCGCGAAAATAAGATCATATGTTGTGAAGGCTGTCCCGGGATGCGAGATGTCAAAACACTGGCAAGTGGTGACATTTGGCAACTGAGCACGCATCACGGCTTGTAGTCAATGCGCCTCTGGCAACTGTGAGGGGAAGATTTACTGTGCGGGTTCACTCGCCACGTGGCCGTTTTTTGTCTAGTTTACGGTGCATTAACCCGACATAGTGTCCAGGAGGGTTACTACAAGAGACAACATTGCAGCAGTGATTGCATTGTACAAAGCAAACCATGTACTAAGAGAAATTTCGGCTCAGACTGGTGTGGCTTTGCGTGTTGTTCAAAACCTTGTCAAGTGTTTCCGTGAGCTTGGAGAGGACGTGTTACCAGCTCCATTACCTAAGTCTGGTAGGCCTAAATTATTGTCTCCACGGACACTTAAGGTTACTTCTCGCCAAGTTCAGTCCAATCCCTCACTCACAGCACGTGAAGTGAAAGAGAGAAACCCCCGTCTTCTGAGTCACGTCTCGTTAAGGTGTGTTCAACAAGCCCTCCACGATGACCTGGGATTTAAGAGCTTTCGGGCCCGTTGTAAGCCTCTGTTGACGAAGAGACAGAAGGAAAATAGAGTGAAATATTGAAAGAAATATGAAGTGTGGGATTTAGAGACATGGAGAAGTGTATTGTGGTCTGACGAGGCTACGTTTTCTGTGACTGGCAGTAGTGGAGGGAGGGTGTACCGCCCGCCTCACTCAGACGCACATCTCCCACAGTACACTGTAAAGACTGTTAAGCACCCTGCCCCGCTTATGGTTTGGGCTTGCTTTACGTATTATGGTGTTGGTGAACTAGTAATCCTCCCTAAGAACCAGATGATGAATCAGTGCAACTATCTTGAACTGCTCAGTGGTTTCTTACCTGAATCATTTGATAAAGCTAAGGCAAGCCTTTTCATGCAGGATGGTGCTCCATGCCACACTGCTAAAAGTGGCATACAGTGGCTCAAAGACTGTGAGGTACCTTTCTTTAATGACTGGCCTGGCAATAGCCCAGATCTTAACCCAATAGAAAATTTGTGGTCCATTGTTAAGCGTCGTCTGCGCGACGCTGACACATCATCAATCCCGAAGCTAGAGGCAGCCATCAAGGACACCTGGGCTAACTTGCCACCTGACCTCTTGCAAAACCTTGCTGACAGTGTTCCTCGAAGGCTAAAAGACTGTCTGAAGCACAGAGGAAACACTACAAAGTATTAATTGAAGTGGTAAGTGTTACTTGACTTTATTTATATAACATAATTGTAAATATGCATATTTTTTCAGCACACGATCTCACATTCTGCGCAGACTGTATTCCACTCTATATAAATGATGTGGCTTACAAATAAATTAAATACTGTATATAAAATTAAATCATTTAACTTTGAATCACATTGTTTATACAGTACAGTGAACCCTCACTTTACGCGGTCAATTGAACCCACGGCGGCCCGCGTAAAGTGAGAAAAGGGTAAAGTGAACAACATAACATATGGGATTAATTGAAATAGAGACCGGGCCGACCTCCAAACTCCACTTTTTCAGACACAATACCTACGTTGTAGTAAAAATAACTTCTTATTTTATGATGGTATGCACACACAATTAATAATTAAGAAAAATATCAATAATATTAGGCTTTCTAACACTTACATTAGTAGAAAAGATGGCTGGGCACACGGGGATGGGCGGTTGGTTCCGAGGCAGAGGGCAGATTATTGGCCCTCACCTGTATCACTTGTATCAATTGTATCACTATCCACCACAGAGGCTTGCAGGGCCTCTTTGTCAAACCCCCCAAAGTTCATATAAGTCCATATCCTCACTATAATTATCACTATCACTGACTTGGGCCGGCTGTAGTGGGTGGCGGGTGAAGAACTGGTAATGTTTTGATGACTGGGCGACCTTGTGTGCACCATTTTCGCGCCTCTTACACAACATGGCGGATGGCGGGAGGTTTGGATCCAAAAATGGCGCGGCTTGCCAGCCGCTCTCCGCGTAATGGGGTTCACGACCGCGGAATGTGAGCATGTTAGGTTCCGGCAGGGCACCGCGTTAACGGTGAACCGCGGAATGCGGGACAGCGTAATGTGAGGGTTGACTGTACATTGAAGTAATTGAAGTAGAGTACATTCAACTCACGCGCGGCACCGAACACGGGACACCACCCGCTCCCGCAACCTCACACATACACGCATAGCTCTCCTTCACTCAGTCAGTCTCGCTGTAACCACGCTTGTGATGACATCAGCATTGTAGTTACAAAAATATTACATTTCCGTGAATGTATTATATCAAGCACAGTATGAATAGAATATCACTAATATAACAGTATTTTAACCGAAACCTATTAAAAAAACGAGATGTGACAGTTGGCGCTGAAGGCCTACGTGTTTATTTATCATTACTTAAGAGTGACTAAGCTCTTCTCATAATTTGCCACCCAAACGACCTGGGTGAATATAACTTACATTGCTGGGATTCTTGTAAGATAGTGATTTATTTGAATACCTGTATAAACAATCTATATTTGCAATAGACATAGCAATTTAAGTACAGGTAGTTCTGCTATAACGCGATAGTAGTGTTCTTGTAAAACATCGTGTTATAGAAATTCGTGTAATAGAAATAACAGGGCTTATGGAGAAAATAGGGTTAGGTGCAGATTACTCCAAATCGAAAAAAAATTTCGTAGTTAGCCTAACACAAAGGATAGCACAGTCTAAATAAATGTTACATTCATATCTAATAATGAAATCATACAGTAAATGTTACACTTTACCTTGAAAAAATATGAATATAACTTGATGGGGGAGAAGGTTGATGTTGAGGAGTCATGAAACATCAAGCTTTTCTTCAAGTGTTATAGCCTTTCTTTTACGATCACCACCGGAAATGCGATCACCAGAGTGCTTCCCAGAGATATTCTTCTTTTCCATAGTCACAAAATTGGAGAAACAGTAATCAGAATTCACTGAGGACACTTAAAAACTTCACGTGTTTCAAACAAAGTGTGGAGTAAACAGAGCGCGCGGGTCTAAAACGCTATGTATTTTGTTTTTCTCTTATTTAAAACTTTACATTTTACATATACTGTACAGGTATACTGTATACATAAATATTACATAAATTATTTCTGCAATTCTTCACAAACAAAACACATAAATCAATTGAACATGTGATGTCGAACGTGACCTGTAAACACTGCATAACCCCGCACCAAGCCACAATGTACAGTACACTTTAAACGCTACTTATTTTGTTTTTCTCTCTTATTTAAAATTTTACAATTTACATATACTGTACAGGTATTTCTTCACAAACAAAACACATAAATCAATTGAACAAGTGATGTCGAACGTGAACTGTAAACATTGAGCCAAGCCACAACACTGTACAGTACACTTTAACCGCTACGTATTTAGTTTTTCTCTTTTATTTAAATTTTTACAATTTACATATATATATATATATATATATCTTGATAAAATCACACGGGAAGATGGAAACAACGGAGTACCTTAGCTTTCGTCTTTATTCAAGCTTTTCCACGTTATATTGTGGATTTACATGAAATATATATATATATATATATATATATATATATATATATATATATATATATATATATATATATATATATATATATATATATATATATATATATATATATATATATATATATATATATATATATATATATATATATATATATATATATATATATATATATATATATATATATATATATATATATATAGTATAATTTACATACAGTTGCCCCACTTAATGCAGTCAGGTGAGCAGAGGTCACGTGTTAAGTGAAATCGCGTTAAGTGAACAACAGAACATATGGGATTAATTCCAATAGAAACCGGCCCGACCCCCAAACTCCACTTTTTGAAGGCACATACCTGTGTTGTAGTAAAAATAACATCTTAATTTTATGATGGTACATGCACACAATTAATACTTAAGAGAAATAGAGAAATACAGTCGCCAAGTTAATGTCCATTCAAATAATGGACTCAACTCCCTCCCCCTCTCACACTACACTGCTTGGGGGAAAACCACTAAATTTTAATAAATAATACCTCAAACTAAAGTTAGGATAATATAATTGACATTGCTGGATTCCTTGTAAGACCAGGAATATTTTGAATATAAATATCATATATTTTGCACAAAAGATAACATACTGTACTTACCTAGAGAAAAATTTTTATCTAAAAATTGTATGTTTAATGCAAAATATATGATGTTTATATTCAAAATGATCACCAAATTATAAGAATTCCAGCAATGTAAATTATATTCTGACCGGGTAATTTATATGAATTTTATGAGCTAAAACAAATATCTTCAGTTAATAAAAAAAAAAATAATCTTCACAACACTATCTGTCAATCAAAGTACCCCACCTTGCCTCCCCCCCTCTTCCAACCACGCGGTCAGTCCCAACCCTCCCCCCCACCCCCCACCAATCCTCCCTTCCAGAGTTTATAACATTTAGTATTAAATAATACCTCAGATTAAAGTTAGGATAATATAATTGACATTGCTGGATTCCTTGTAAGACCAGGAATATTTTGAATATAAATGTCATATATTTTGGACAAAAGATAACATAGTTACCTAGAGAAAATTTTTTATCTAAAAATTGTATGTTTAATGCAAAATATATGTTGTTTATATTCAAAATGATCACCAAATTATAAGAATTCCAGCAATGTAAATTATATTCTGACCGGGTAATTTGTATGAATTTTATGAGTTAAAACAAATATCTTCAGTTAATAAAAAAAAAAATAATTCTTCACAGGGTAACAGATGGTCGGTCGGTCGGTCCCTCCCTCCCCCCCACCCCCCACCAACCGTCCCAAGGAGATGTGTGGGATAACCACTAAATTTTAATAAATAATACCTCAAACTAAAGTTAGGATAATATAATTGACATTGCTGGATTCCTTGTAAGACCAGGAATATTTTGAATATAAATGTCATATATTTTGGACAAAAGATAACATAGTTACCTAGAGAAATATTTTTATCTAAAAATTGTATGTTTAATGCAAAATATATGTTGTTTATATTCAAAATGATCACCAAATTATAAGAATTCCAGCAATGTAAATTATATTCTGGCCGGGTAATTTGTATGAATTTTATGAGCTAAAACAGGCAGTCAGGCAGGGTGGCGGGTGGGGCAAATCTAAAAATAGCGTCTCGAGCCGGACACTCACCGCGTATATGTGGAAAAAATCCGTGTTAAGTGAAAGTTCAGCTCTGGCGAGGCACCGCGTATATGATAAAACGCGTTAAGTGAAACCGCGTTAGGCGGGGTAATACTGTATTCATATTATGCTAGAGCGCCCACAAAACATGAGAAACGTTTGAGTCCCCCAGTAGAGATGTCCGTTCTCTATCCACTCCAGGATGTCCTAGTCCTCCGTTTTCTTTTTGTGTACTCGCTCAGGGACTCAAGTATTTCTGTATATGACACAGGATGATAAGGGAATTTGAATTTATTTGTTTATTTATTTATATATAATATACTGTAATATATTAAATATACTGCAAGTATTTTCTTTAATTTATATACGTGTTTCGCGAAAAAGGGAGGCTACATTTATGGTGATCATTAAGGACCAAACTCCGAATCCATGACGTGACTTCTGTTCATTATTTATAACCTAAATTTACCACTGTAGGTAGTTTCAAGAATTAATGCAGTCATTTACTGAATATTCTTTGCAAAAAAATAAATTTCAAATGAATTATTTATAAGAGATAAGTATTATGATCAGTAAATATACAGGTATGCATTACTGACCACCTCCGAACACAAGGACGGCTAAAAATAGCCACAGGCGGTCACAGTCAAGGTCACTTTCCCTTTCTTGTCACTGGCAAATGGGGGAGGGGGGGATGATAATAGCAGCTGTGTTTATTACGGTATGTTAGACTGGTTTATAATACATTTTTATTATTTTAATAAA